AGAAGATGGACAATGAGGTAAATAATTCAGAATAAAGTAATACCACAGGGAAACACTAGAAAGGAAAATAATGCCTGCAGAAATAGTAAAAAGAATGACTTCAGAGGAGCAGATATTTCATTAAGTAGAACCCAGTGATCTCTAAATATTTCCATTCTATATTAAGTTACTTAATTGCTTTTACTTATCCAAAATAAATAATTTCTTAGAATTTTACATACCCTTCTTAATAGCTTTGTACTTCTCTTCATTCTCCATAAAATTAGGGTCCATCTTGAAAACATCTTAAAAAATAAAATAAAAGTTAAGTAAGTGTTTATTTTCTGAATTTATTTTTGTTGGTGTCCTGCTTCCTGAACCCCACTGCCCAGACTTACTAAGAACATCTTCGGGATTATAGTCATCCTCCAAAGGCAGCATGTGGGTGAACTGATCATCTTCTTCTACTAAGTCAAGTCCTTCTAGGATAATTGGGTGATCCTTGAATCCATCCTTCCGTACAGCAAACATCACTTCAATCATATACTGAACTCTTTTGTCAATTTCAGACTCATGCAGAATGTTTCGAAGGCGTTCAAATATTGCTAAACAGAAAGAAAGGACATAAAAAGCAGTAAATATAATAATATTGATACTTAAGCAAGAACACACTATCAAACCAGGAACAAATACCTACCATTGATTCCTCTTGGTGACACCTGTGTTAACTTGAGGCCACATTCCTTGAGAAAACCAATAGCGACTTCAACACTATCATCTGTTGGTCTTTCCAAGAGTAAAGTGAGCATCTCTAAGCATAAAACTTCGTGTGCCTAAATAGAATGCAGACATTTGGAAGAGAGAAAATGCTTTTTACATATTCTAATTTAATGTTGATAATATTTTTAAATTAGCAATTCTGTTTTTGTGGGGTCCTCTTGTCCTTTTCCATTCTTCAGAACTCCGGGTAAAAATGCATATACTTTGCATGCTTTTCCAAGCCAACAGGACTCAAACTGTGCAGCAAGTCATATAGGAGCCATCTGCCTTAACCATGTCACCTGGCTGACGCAGCAAATCTATTTTTTACAATGATTATATTTCACGTACGATGGACAAATTTATTCCAAATATGGCATACAATTTACCTATCAATTTCATCATGTATCTTAAGGATTTACAGAATATCCACAAACCTTCATTTACTACAATGAATACAGCTATTTGAATTATCTCTGGAAAAAAGTATTATGTATAGGAATATGTCATAATTGTAAACTCAAAACTTAAAAAAATTACATAATGGGGCCAGCAGGTGGCATAGTGGTTAAGGGTGCTGGACTCCCACATGGCCAACCGCAGTTCAAGTCACAGACCTGGAGGCTTGCTTTCTTACTTTCTCTCTCTCTCTCTCTCTCTGTCTCTCTTTCTCTCACTATCATTCTCTCTTGCTCTCGCTCTGTCCCTTTCTGGCCAATTTTTTTTTTTTAAGTAAGGAAATAAATAAAGTTAAATAAGATAATTCTTTTTTAAAAAAATTACCTGCTAGCTTCTTTTAATTTGTTTTTCAGAATCACTATGTGAGGAACAGCAACACAAATCTTTAACTGATACCTACATGACCACAACTCTTCATATCCATTTCCTAATTTATTCTATATCAGCATCTCTATTGGGTAGCAAATAGTCCTTACATTACAATACTAATTTTACCAAAAACTATCTTAACACTTTGTTACATACTATCTGTTTTGAATATTTCCTTTTATAAAAAAAAATTAAATCAAACTACTTACAGTGATCATATTAAAAAATTAGTATTTGTAAACAAAGCCAGATACAGTGGTAAAAAAATTCTTCTAAGAAGCTTTGCTGTGAGAGGAAATGAACAGAACTAATATTTGAAAGGCCATAAGTATGCCTTTAAAGTCAAACATTTATTTGAGGTGGAGAGGAAACAAGCTAAATTTCAACTCAGGAGAGGATCCTCTTCACACTGAGTACAACAACAAAAACATACTGCTTTTCTTGGTTGGGAAGGGAAA